TAACTTGAATGCCTCCCTTGAGTCGGAGGACATTATTGTTATTTTCTTTTTCTCCCTTGTGGAGCTGGAGTTACCTCCCTTGTGGAGGCTGGTACGGCACTCAACTGATATTATTCTTATAAGTTCCTCTTGGCTTATTAAGGTGTATGCAATATGACATAGCATAGCATACTATAACATGGAATGTACTTAAACACATATACTTCGTGTGCACTGCTTAAGTGTATGCAGTATGATCTAGCATAGTATACATAACATTAAATTAACTCAAGCATATATATAATTCATGTGTGCTGCTTATGTGTATGCAGCATGACATAACATCACATACAATACTTAAAGCATAAACATGCATATATAACATGTGTAACTTTTTCTTTAAAATCTATTCATACTGTAGGCGAGATTCCTACTTACCTGATTTACAGAGCTGGAATCCACTTTTCTCCAAACAGCATATTCTCTTACTTGCTTACTTCTAAAAATGAACACCCATTGAGATGTGAGATTATCTGTCGTTTGCTATTTTATTTTAGCAACTTATGAAGGAAATTTAACCCTTTACTTAAGGTGTATTCCTTTCATTTCCTGAAGGATAATTTACTATAATGATCAATTTATTAGATCCTCAAAATTTTATTTTCCTTAATTGCCCTTAACATACTTATGTCTAGATTGAAAATCATTTACCCAATATAGTAACTTATTCTCCATAAAATTCCTCATTGAACTTATTATGATATTAAGGCCCAATTCGGCCTAGAAGCTTATTAACGGCATTCTAACTCTTAGGCCGCTGAAATTTAAACTCAAACAGAGTCTCTTAAATCAATGCGGATGTTGGACCCACATCAAATCCTCAAAATCCTAAGGATCTATCGTGTTTTGTAAGTGCCCGTCGGGATGTTTTGCTCGAAAACTATTAAGCTTTTAAAAGAACTATCATTCGATTTTTATAAAATGATAACTCACTCATTTAGTTACAAGCACTAAAATCCCGTTGTAAAATCTCTTTTCGAATATCGACTTTTGAAAACTATTCCCCAAGTCGTTTTACGGTAGACTTGTAAACCACAGTGAAACTATGTTGTAGAAACTCTTTTTTTTGAAACCTTTCTTCACGGATATTCCTCATTAAAGCAAGGTCTAAAACCATATTATTTTACTGAAATCACATCTCGGGTTCTTTGATAACCTTTTGTTAAAAACGACACTGTTTTAGTTTCGTTTTGTTAAAACTATGCAGTTTCTAAAATATGCATTTCACTGCATCTTAGATTCAGATTTTGAGAATCTGTTCTTCACGATAATTCTTCAACTCGTCGAGATCTAAAATTATCGTTTTTAGAGAAAGTTGAAATTCAGCCTCTAAAGGCCTCGTTTAATTGAAAATAACGGCTGCTATTTTTTTTTCTTTTGTTGTAGCAATGCTAGCCGTTGAAATTTAAACTCTAACGGAGTCTCTTAAATTAATGCGGGCGTTAGACCCACATCAAATCCTCGAAATTCTAAGGACCTATCGTGTTGGGTTTGTAAGTGCCCGTCGGGATGTTTTGCTCGAAAACTATTAAGCTTTTAAAAGAACTATCATTCGATTTTTATAAAATGATAACTCACTCATTTAGTTACAAGCACTAAAATCCCGTTGTAAAATCTCTTTTCGAATATCGACTTTTGAAAACTATTCCCCAAGTCGTTTTACGGTAGACTTGTAAACCACAGTGAAACTATGTTGTAGAAACTCTTTTTTTTGAAACCTTTCTTCACGGATATTCCTCATTAAAGCGAGGTCTAAAACCATATTATTTTACTGAAATCACATCTCGGGTTCTTTGATAACCTTTTGTTAAAAACGACACTGTTTTAGTTTCGTTTTGTTAAAACTATGCAGTTTCTAAAATATGCATTTCACTGCATCTTAGATTCAGATTTTGAGAATCTGTTCTTCACGATAATTCTTCAACTCGTCGAGATCTAAAATTATCGTTTTTAGAGAAAGTTGAAATTCAGCCTCTAAAGGCCTCGTTTAATTGAAAATAACGGCTGCTATTTTTTTTTCTTTTGTTGTAGCAATGCTATAGCAGTCCTTTAATAAGGCGGTAGCAATCCTTTTAAAAATGCTATAGGATTGCTGTAGCAATCTTCTAATATTGAGTGGGGAAAAAGCTAGGAGAAAAAAAATGAAGCTTATCCTATGTTAGTTCCTTATATAGACAACTTGAAAATCATTTTTTTAACATCACATCAACTCCTTCAATCAACCAAATTTTTGGTTCAATCCCCTAAATCATGGCCGGATTTGGAAGAGAAAGGAGAAGTAACTTTGCCATTAATTCCCCTTCAACCACTACCATCACATCACCTTAACATAAAATCCTCTAGCACACTCCACTAGCCAAATTTTTGGCTCTATTTTTCTATGCATGGCCGGCCAAGTGGAGAAAGAGAGAGAGAAAAATCTCACTCACCCCATTGTACTCTTGTCCACTTTCTTAAGTTTTCCTTTGAAACTGATAAAAATTATACTGACTATAAGGAAGTAACTTAGCCGACAGGAATTTGTTTCCATTTCTGATGGTTCCTTTTCTACTGCTTATTTATAGTTCAACTGTTAAATCCTCGACTGCTTTGAGATCACATTAAATTCTCACTCGTGTAATATCTTGAACTGTTTCAAGTCTTGAAATTATTTCTAGACTGAACAAATTATAAATTTAACTTTTCTGCATTAAATCCTGGGAATGATGTTGTTTCTGACGGTGTCAACTCCTGAGCTCACATTGTACCCTTCTACTATGGGTATTTATCTTGTGACTTTAACCTAGCTGTTTGGCAATTAAGGATTTTCTCTTCTTTTAAAATGTCAATGCATTTTTTTATACGCTGCTAACATCGTGCTGTGCTTGGAGATTCTTGAAATTAAGATTTTCAAACTATACTTGTACTGAAAATTATTCTGCCTTAAAGTACGGCGAGAATTTATCGATCGAATTTACAAGATCGAAAACATGAACTTAACATAATATCTACTACAGAATTTAGGAATACATATATTAATTCTATAAATCCTTCATTCACAATATAACATAATATTTTCTAGAAAAATCCTTAGCTTAAATAAATAAATTATATTATTTAAATTCTAAGATTTTCTCAGTCATTACAGGTACCGCCCAACTTAGCCCACGTAAAATTGGTCCATGGTGTGGCCTGAGTAATTCTTATACTGGCCTCTAGAAAAATCCTTAGCTTAAATAAATAAATTATATTATTTAAATTCTAGGATTTTCTCAGTCATTACAGGTACCGCCCAACTTAGCCCACGTAAAATTGGTCCATGGTGTGGCCTGAGTAATTCTTATACGGGCTGGCCCTACCCATAAAATTCGTGGGCTGGGCTGACCTATCCCACGGCCTGCATGGGCGTAAGGAGAACGGGCCGGGCCGGCCCGGCCCGTTCTTGCATCTCTAAAAAAGGGTGGTAAATTATGCAAGTGGACAAGTGAGTTGCAAAAATTATGAATTTGTTTGAAAATGTTTGTTATGTATGTATGTTATGTGTGAGATATATTTGTCGTGCATAAATGATAAATGCTACTCCTTTTATTATAAGTCCCTGTGTACAAAAGATAAAATGTTTATTGTAAGTTTCAAGTGAGCCCATGTTTATTTAATGAGAAAAAAGTAAAACTATTCTTTTTATTGCTCTCCATGTCGTGCGAAACATACTCTGGAGTTGAGAAAACGGGAGCCGATTAGAATTTTCTCTTATTAAAATATATCAACTTAAATAAAAGGGGCAATTATTGAACCAAGATGGCAATATTGATTTCATATGGAACACCCTTTGAAACTGAAAACGTTAATTGCAATTATAAAGAACAATCAATAATGAATCAAAAATGTAAAGCAATCAAAATAAATTAAAGTAAATGAGAGATAAATGACCAATAATTATATAGTCAAAGTGGGAATGGTCATGACGCGTGTGTGGGTGGTGGGTTCCTCTAGATATTGAAGTCTTCCGTGAAATTTCCTACACTTTAATTTTTGGTTGTTTCAATGATCTGCTTTTTGAAGCCTATTACATTCTGCCAACATATAAACTAATCTCGGAGGCTTTTGATCGTTCTGCTTTCTACATTTGTTGGCTGGGATTATATTTATGGCTGCTTCTTCTTCTTATTATCCTTCTTCAACATCCACTCCAACGCCAAAACATGACGTATTTCTTAGCTTTAGAGGCGAGGATACTCGTGCCAAATTTACAAGCCATCTTCATGCAAAATTGAGACCTTCATAGATAATAGACTTCCAAAGGGAGACGAGATTTCGCCTGCACTTATCAAAGCAATACACGAATCAAGAATTTCAGTAATGATTTTCTCTGAAAATTATGCCTTTTCATCGTAGAAAGGTACTTATTGTTATTTTCTGAGTTATTGGAGGAAAAGGATCGGGATACCATTACCTCTTTTGCTGAGGAAAGGCTTCGCCGTAGAAAGGTACTTATTGTTCTTGATGACGTGAATGCTCTGGAGCAATTAGAAGTTTTCGCTGAGGATCACCATTGGTTTGGCTCTGGAAGTAGAATTATTGTAACAACAAGAATTATTGTAACTTAAGGGATTAGACTTTGATAATGCTCTTCAACTCTTTATTTCAAATGCTTTTAGGAGAAACTCTCCCACGGCCGATGATGTAATGTTGTCGAAAAGAGTGGTAAATTATGCAAATGGGAACCCCTTAGCTCTTAAAGTTTTAGGGTCATTCCTTCGTTCAAGGGTAAAAGAAAACTGGGAAATGGAGCTAGAAAAACTTAAAGAGTTTCCCAACCAACGAATTCACGATATATTAAGAATAAGTTTTGACGGACTAGACGAAACTTAAAGAGTTTCCTTGATATTGCATGTCTTTTCAAAATTGACTCAGAATCTTCAAATTGCATAAAACTTGTAGAGCGTAGACTGGGTGCTCATCGTTGAAAATAGGAATACAGAGTCTTATTGACAAGTCTCTTGTAACTGTCAACGACAACAATATTGTTGTGGTGCATGATCTGTTGAGAGACTTTGGCCTTGGAAATTTCTGCCATCAAATTTCATGCCACATAATCTTGTTGAACTTAGGATGCCTTGTAGCAATCTTGAGCGACTTTGGTGTGGAATCGACGTACGCTTTAATTTAACATTTTTCTTCTACTACGGAATATAATATGTGAAGATTAGCTTAATTAAGTTCTAACTAATTCTTGTATTCTTGCAACAGATTATTCTTGGAAATTTAAAATATGTTGATCTTCATTCGCCCGACCATCTTATTGAAATTTCCGCTCTCTCTCAAGCTCCAAACCTTATGAGCGTAGATCTTGGCCACTGCAGAGCATTACGTCAAGTTCCTTCACTGAGATTTCGAATTTCTGAGGAGCTTACTTGTTTGGATCAGAGGTACCACGAATGCAATCGCGTTGAATGCCGAACTATTGGACACCTTAAACTTGACAAATGCACTGCTCTTGAAGTTGTTGAGAAGATAACTGGGAATCTTGATTTCTTGGATCTCAGCCGCTGTCGTTTTCTCAAGAATCTTCCAAGTGATATTCAAAAGCTAAAGTCCTTGAAATGCCTTAATCTAAGCGGATGCTTATACTTTGACAAGCTATCGGTGCTTCCAAGAAACATGATTGAGTTAGATTTGAGTAGAACGGCGATAGAAGAATTGCCATCATCGTCCATTGAGTATCTCTCCAGTCTTGAGAAACTAGATTTGAGCAATTGTGAAAGGTTTAAGAGCTTGCCAACCAGTATTTGCAAGTTGAAATCTCTTAAAAGCCTTGACCTGAGAAGGTGCTGGAAATTGGAAATCTTCCCCAAAATATTGGAGCCGTTGGAACATTTAGAGAGTCTCAACTTACATAGTACAGGGATCCAAGTGCTACCACCATCTATATCTATGTTGCACTTTCTAAGATCATTGAATTTGAGTTTCAGCAATTTATCTGAAACTCCTGAGGAGATTGGTCGGTTATCTTCATTAGAAATCCTAAATCTACTTGAAACCCGTATAGAGGGAATGCCTGTAAGCATAAAAGATCTTTCTAAGCTGACCGAGCTCGTGATTTCCTGTTGCAAGAGACTTAAATATTTGCCGGAGCTTCCGTTTTCTCTAGAATATCTTAATGCAGATAGATGCGTCTCATTGGAGACGATAGCAAATTCAAGGGATGTTATCAAACAAGGGTTGAGTAGTGGCAACCATGTTATAACATTTAGGAACTTTGTCTATTCTGGTTGCTCAAAGTTGGGTCTCAACACACAAAACAACATAGTGAGTGAATTTCAGCTCAGAACTTTGGACACATCAATTAAATGTCTGCTTCCAGTACATGGCGCATTAAAGGTGTGTGTCTCTTTCTCTTTTAGGAGGAAAAATAAAAACAAAAATAAAATTTGGCTTTATTTTCACTATTGTACTAAATAAAATGATTGTTTATCTTGCAGAAATCAGATTGTCCTGGTGTTGGCATTTGTTTTCCCGGAAATAAAATTCCGATGTGGTTCACATATCAATCGAAGGGCCCTTCAATAAACATTAAGCTTTCTTCAGATTTGAAGAGTACCAATTTCGTGGGCCTTGCTGTATGTGTCGTTTTAAATGCAGAGGAGATGTGGTCCTTGTACTTATCTAGTTTAAACTTATCTTGTGAAACAAATTTCAAAACTAACTGTACTAAAAGCTGCAAATTTGATTGGGATTTCATTGATTTTGATCTGTATGCTCCGCTAGAAGGCACATTCAAGTCAAATGTGTTCATGTGGTATAAGCATGTAAACTACAACAACTATCCTGACACAGAGGAGGTGTCATTTCGCTTCCGCTGTGGCTTTGCAGGCAATGTGAGAAGTTGTGGTGTCCGCTTACTATATCTCCAAGATGCAGAGGACGTACTTGGTTTCACTGGTAAGCATGGAAAATCAAATGTTTTAAGTACTCGAGCCGTCTAGTCTTACACGGCCAAATCGCCGTAATGATGAACTCAAACTTTTAGTTTCTAGTGACTCTGCTGACCATGCCTCCCCTCTGTTAGATGTAATTTATAAAATCTATCAAACATTATTGCACTAGTAATGCTTTAATTTGATTTCTTGTCATGCTTTTGTAGGAACTGGCTGCTAACTTTTATCAAATCACTTTGATTTATGGTACACAAGTTGCAATTTTTTCGGTGTGTTCTTCACAAGCCTAATAAAAATGGGGAGGCTTGGTGGAGATCAAGAGTGGTTTCGATGCTGAATTACACCAGTGTGAGTACTGATCTCTCTCTCTCTCTCTCTTCTTGAATGTGTAACTCTATTTCTTCTTCTTCCTTACATTAATTTCTGGATTCCCACTTTCCTTCCGTCCGACAATAGTTTGTCAATTACAAACTATATATGAACTAGTGAAAATGTTACAACGATGTTGATTTTACTTTTAACTTTGTTATATGATCAATACCTCAATTCTTCCATGGTGAAGTTATATTTTTAATGCAAATTTGCTTAATGGACTATCAATAGGAATCCTCTCTAATATGACGTTTAGGAAATTAATATTACTGATAAAGGTTAATTTTTGGTGATATTTTATTCATTGAGGAGAAAATGTAGAAAAAGAAGGAAAAAAAAAAACGGAAAATAGTTTTCAGTGACTGAGTTGGAACTCAAGACCACATCCACAAAATAGGTATCCTTCTGTATCTTCTAAAATTTAACTACATTTCTTTGATTCTCGTATGCATATTCTCATATTATATGTTTTTTTTTTTTCTTTTTTTAGAATGTATGACAAATAATTCCCACATATAGCAACAGACAACAGACGACAGACGACAGATAATGATTAAAAAGCAGAATCGAAAAGGTGGTCCAAAACCTGGTCTTTTATGGAAGGAATTAGACGACAGTTTTTGAAAAACTGTGACTACTCTTTTTTTTTTTTTTTGTGGAAAAGGCTCATGAGACTATTATAAACCCAAAACCCTATTGTCTAGTCCTCTTCTTAATGTCATGCTGAAAGGCTCTTATGAGACTCTAGACCGAAAACTGCAGCAAGAGGAACAATGAAATAGGGCACCAATACAAAATCATCCTCGAAAATTATTTGATAGAGTTATAGTTGAGGTATGATACAACAACTTTTCTCTGCTTATACTGTTCTTTGTAAAAATCTGGAGCCTCTGTCAAAAAATAATGGATAATTGACTCTTTTTATTTGATGTTTAAATCAGTACAAAGCTGAGTTCTCTTTTTTTTTTTTTTTTTTTTTCTTTTTTTTTTTTGGGTTCCTAGATTCCTTTTATCAAATGCCTCGTAAATCATTTGCCTGTGCATTTTTAGCTCAAGCACTAATTAATTAAATCATGCCAAATGGATCAAATTAAGCAGCATTATTTCTTTTCTTTTCAATAAATAATTTATGTATTTGTAAATTACCGTTTTTTAATCTTTGTGTTTCTGTTTCCATTTGCACGGACATGGCATGTAAAGAAAACAAGCATAAATGCATATGACATTTAGTTTATAGATTCAGAACCATAGTTAATGATTTTGATTTTATAATTTAAATTTTTTATGAAAAAAAACAGTGTAGCGAATTAAGAATCATGATCTTAACTAGACGAGAACTCTCAAAACAAACGGAGCAGTAGTACCATAGTTAATGATTTTGATTTTATAATTTAAATTTTTTATGAAAAAAAAACAGTATAGCGAATTAAGAATCATGATCTTAACTAGACGAGAACTCTCAAAACAAACGGAGCAGTAGTCTGCCAACTAGATTTGCCTTGTTTTACAGATTGCAGTTTTGTCAGGAAAATGCATGTAGTTTTGCTATCAGAATCAGATCAAGCTTTCCCAGCCACTGATTATTAGCTTATGCCAGACTGACTATTCCAAACGATTTTTTTTTTTGCTGATAATTTATTCCAAAAGATATTGATTTAGGCCTTATTAAAGCAGCGTTCTTCCTCCCTCTAAATAATGTGGTAAATTGATCATTTATTCACAAACGAATGTGCCACTCAAGAATATTTTACATACAAAAATATTCTTTTTCACACTTGAAATATTGACTTTGATTATTTGACAATTTTATCCTAAAAGCAAACTGTACGGAATGTCTACGCTATCAGAGAAGAATTTTTATCAGTTTATTGCTAATGTTAAGGCCAAAATTGGTGAAAGAATTTGACAAATATCAATAATGAATAATCTATAGAAAGCAAGAGATACTAGTTGAGTTGAATGTTTGTCTAATTATGTCCAAGAGTTAAATGCATCTTCATTGAAATTACTAATGCAATGTCATATTTTGCATATTAAAGCCAGTGAAATTGCAAAATGTCTTGTAACCATATATACATGTTCAACTACTACCTTGGCTGTATGAAAGAACTTTGGATAAATTTCATAAAATTTCCTCTCAACTTTTAGCACCATAACAATGCCCCGTCAAATATTAATTTGTATCATCTATTCCCCCTCAACTTTAAAACTACGTCAAATTTCCTCCTTCCATTAATTATTTGGATGAAATTGCCACGTGTTACACATTGAAATATTCTAAAATTATTTGTTATAATTTAAATTAGACTGTAGATTGTTTTTGTTTAATTGTTCAAGTCTCTCAGCATTGTTGTCATTGTGTTAGGAAATACAGTAGTATCATCGTAGCAATTTTCAAATTCCTTTCTTAATAGTTAGTTACAAACCACGTTCAAATATTTGAAAACAGAGAAGGAGCGAAAACAGGGGAGAAAAAAGGAAGATACAATTTTATGGCTTGCACAATTGTCTTCTATCACTAGTTTTGTAAGGAATATATTCTCTCATTTATTCACTTATATATTATATGCTATTGGTGACTCGTAAACGAATATAAACACACAAAAAAAAAAAAAAAAAAAAAATGTGACCTCAAAAAAAAAAAAAAACAAAAAAAAAAAAAAAAAAAAAAAAAAAAAAAAAAAACCAATCAAGCGAAGAATGTCCACGTATCACTGCTCAACCATATAAACAACTAGCTTTGTTTTCGTCGAAAAAAAAAAAGGTCCACGACGACAACAACTAGCTCAGTCTTTGTCCGGTTCAACAGAACTGTTGGTTTTGAAAATAATTTTTAATATAGAAGAGTGTATCTAACATATCGTATGTAATAAAAATTTTATAAACCTTTGAAATACTCTACAGATTACATTAATTTATGCATAAATAAATTAATTAAATTTATTTATTTACCTAGTGAACGATTAGGTCGATTACTTGAGTATTTTTACCACAAACATTCCTCGTTCCAAGCTAGATTAGAATACCCGAATCTTTCTCATCAACTCTTTAAATCTACGAAGACGTGTGTGTGGGCACACTAAAAACAAAACAGGATTAGTAAATAAACATTTAAGTTTTTCACGAATACCAACACATGCACGACATGAAATTTGAGAGAAATTTTTTTTCTTTTCCTCACTCTATAAAACCGGCCACACTATACTGGGGAGAGTACAAATTGTGTTCTCTAATATTCTTTAATTTTCTATTTATAGAGTAGTAGTTAGACTCGCAGAAAAAGTCAAAATTTTATCTCCAAGATAAAGCATGATAATTATATCCCACTTCTAATTGATTTTAGAAGCAAAGTTCTCTCTCTCCCTTATCCCATAAGGCCGGCCACCACAGGGATATTTCTCCCTGTGGTAGGCACAAATAGCAGATAGGAAGGAGGCAAAATTCTGCTTTTATCCTGCAGTCTAATTTTTGTAATGACTGAGAAAATTTCATACCTTAAATAATACAATTTATGTATTTAAGCCAAGGATTTTCCTAGAAAATATTATGTTATATTTGTGACTGAAGGATTTATGAAATTAATATCTGTATTCCTAAATTCTGTAGCAGATTTCATGTTAAGTCTATGTTTTCGATCAAGTAAATTCGATCGATAAAATTCTCGCTGTACTTTAAGGCGGAATAATTTTCAGTAAAAGTATAGTTTGAGAATCTTAATTTCAAGAATCTCCAAGCACAGTATGATGTTAGCAGCGTATAAAAAAAACGCACTGACATTTTAAGAGAAAAGAAAATCCTTAATTGTCAGACAGCTAAGTTAAAGTCACAAGATAAATACCCATAATAGAAGGGTACAATGTGAGTTCGGGAATTAACACCGTCATAAACAACGTCATTCTCGGAATATAATGCAGAATAGTTAAATTTAGAATTTGTTCAGTCTAGAATTAATTTTAAGACTTGAAACAGTTCGAAATATTACGCGAGTAAGAATATAAAATAATATTTAATTATTCAAAAATTAATGTTAGACTGTAAGTAGTAGATTAAATTACGTGAGCTAAATTATTTACCTCTAATCAGTATAAATTTAATCTGTTTAGAGGATATATTTGAGGATAAGATCAAGCACGTAATCTTGTCTTAATCAGATACTTTATATAGTGAAATTTTTAGGGTTCTTGCACTTTCTTTCTCTTGTTCCCGTTCACTCTCTCTCTCCCCTCACGTTCTCTCACAAAACCATCAATGGCCAAATACTCAAGTTGAGATTCCGACCTCCGTTTTTGACACCGCCGATGTCAATAGAAAGATCTCGACGAGTTGAGTTCAACGACATGCGGCACGACCTCCAACTCCACCGGAATCAGCCGCAATCACCGGCGAAAGTTCCGAAAATACCTATTTCTTCCCGTCGTGATATCTCCGCCATCCGACCTCCGATTGAGATGATTTCAGTCCCTAGGGACTCAGTGCAACGAGACGAAGAAAACCCATCCATTTTCAGAGCTCGATTCTAGCCGGAGTGCCGCCGTCCGTGGTGGTCGGAATCGTCGCTGCCGCCGCCGTCATTTCTCTCTCTCTCCAAGCCGTCGTGGATGTCACCGCCCCCACCAATCGACTCAGAAGCCGACGCCCAGTAGATCCCGACCAGCAGCCACCGTCACCGTCACAGTTTGGCCGGAAAACGGAGCCACTGCCGTCATCCGTGGAGGGAAGAAGTGGTTCCGATGATCTAACCGTTGGATCGTCGTGACTTTGGTGTCACAACACCAGAAGGAAGCGGGTAAGAAAACCCCTCGACCAATTTTAAGATTTCATGACCGAAAATGTGAGATTTGAGTCGCCGGATTTTACCGACGTTGCCGGTCCCGATAGGTACTGATGCAGCTCGAATGGTGTGAAATTGACCGCACCAATGGACTCAGAAGGGTCAAGTTAGGGGGTAGGATCCAAGTCCGCCGCGGAAAAACTCT